CCCCGCCCAGGCTGTGAACTCCCCAAAGGCAGGCCTCATGCCCACTCACCTCTGCAGCCCCTGCCATGCTTCACCCCCAGCCCCCAACCGTTGACCCGACAAATCAGCATCTGTTCAACCGAACTGACCCCTTGACAGGCCAGCTCGGGACAGTGAGGAAGAGGACGATGAGAAGAAAGGCCGGGGCTGCGCTCTCCAGTACCAGCACGCCATGGTGCGGGTCTTGACTCAGTTTGTGGCCGAGGTGGCTGAGCCCGGGGGGCAGCTGGCCCACCTGCTGGGCTCAGATTGGCAGGTGGACATCACGGAGCTGGTAAATGACTTCATGCAGGTGGAGGAGCCCCGGATTGCCAAGCTGCAAGGGGGACAAGTCCTGATTGGCCAGGAGCTCGGGATGACCGCCATTCAGGTAAGACCCCCAAGGCAAGGCCTCTCTGTATCCCTGTCACGTCTCTACCCAGACAAGAACTCGGCTGTTTGTTGTCACTTAGAGCAATATCTATTTTTTTTTTAATTTTTTTATTGACGTATAGTCCATGTACAATGTTGTGTTCGTTTCAGGTGTACAGAAAAGTGATGCAGCTATACATATGTATACATCTATTCTTTTTCAGATTCTCTTCCATTATAGGTTATTACAAGATATTGAATAGAGTTCCCTGTGCTGTACAGTAGGTCCTTGTCGTTTATCGATTTTATATATAGTAGCGTGTATATGTTAATCCCAAACTCCTAATTTACACCCCCTTTCCCTTTTGGTAACCGTAAGTTTGTTTTCTATGTCCGTGGGTCTATTTCTGTTTCGTAAATAAGTGCACTTTATCATTTTCTTAGATTCCACATGTAAGTGATATCATATGATATTTGTCTTTCTCTGTCTGGCTTACTTTACTTAGTGTGATAATATCTAGGTCCATTTCTGTTGCTGCAAATAGCATTATTTCATTCTTTTCTTGATGGCTGAGTAATCTTCCGTTGTATATCTGTACCACATCCTCTTTATCCATTCATCTGTAGATGGACATTCAGGTTGCTTCCATGTCTTGGCTATTGTAAATAGTGCTGCTATGAACATTGGGGTGCATGTATCGAATTACAGTTTTGTCTAGATGTATGCCCAGGAGTGGTGTCCCTGGATCATACGGTAGCTCTCTTTGACAGTATCCATTTTCAGAGTGAATAGATTGAAAGAAGCTGTCAGATAAACAACAGAAGAGGTATAATGATGGACTGGCTTCTCAGGATGGGTCATGTTTGAAACTCCCAGACATTATTTCTCTCTAAGACATGGTGGATGTTACTATCTTGGGACAAAAGCTCTAAAAATAAAGCTACTATATGATCCAGCAATCCGACTCCTGGGCGTATATCTGGAAAAGACAAAAACTCTAATTCAAAAAGATACATGCACCCCAATGTTCACTGCTGCACCATTTACAACAGCTGAGACATGGAATCAACCTGAATGTCCATCGATGGATGAATGGATAAAGAAGATGTGGTACATATACACAATGGAATATTACTCAGCTATAAAAAAAGAATGAAATAATGCCATTTGCAGCAACATGGATGGACCTAGAGATGATCCTACTAAGTGAAGTAAGCCAGACAGAGAAAGACAAATATCATATGATAGCACTTATATGTGGAATCTTTAAAAATGTTACAAATGAACTGTTACAAAACAGAAACAGCCTCACAGACATAGAAAACAAACTTATGGCTGCTAAAGGGGAAAGGTCTGGGGAGGGATAAATTAGGAGTTTGAAATTAGCATATATACACTACGAACAAGGACCTACTGTATACCACAGGAAACTCTACTCATTACTCTGTAATAACCTATATGGGAAAAGAATCTGAAAAAAAACAGATACATGTACATGTATAGCTGAATCACACTGTTGTACACCTGAAACTAACACAACATTGTAAATCAACCATACCCCAATATAAAATAAAATTTTTATAATCGAAAAATATTTTTTAAAAAGCTCTTGGGGTGGGCTAAGCTCATCAGAATCATGGGTGTGGCCAGCAGCTTCTCACTTGGTCACTCCACCTCAATGACCATGGTCACCGAAAAGCTTCCCATCCCACCATGATGCTCAGCTGTCTCCACCAGGTCCCAGCCTGCCACGTGATGAAACCTGGAGCATTTCAGAAATGTACTGAAGGAAGCAACAGAGTTATTATGATTCCACTGGTCTTGTAAGCACCTACTGCTAGGAATGGATGGGGTGAACGAGTATGCAACCTGGGAGCTTTGAAACAAACACTTTCACAAGACACGGTTCTGGGAGGTCACTTGGGAGTCACTTACCTCCTGTCTGAGAGCAAATATTATTCCTCAGTGACTGCCCCATTCATAGAAGAGGTGATCATCCTATTAGCCAAACAGTGAGGTTTACTATATTGGCTTTTGTAGATTTAAAACAGTCTGGAAAATGGGCTGATATTTAAGAGAGAGCATTTTTGAACCCATTATTATCAAATGATTGAATTAACCCTGAGATGTCTCATTAAAATAGAATATTGCAGCTGTCAGTTGGAGAATACATTATAAAATTTTCAGACAGTCTATCAGAAACAAAATGTTTTTATTTGTACAATCAAGAAAATGTAATTTTGCTGTTAACTCTGTACTGTTTTATTAAAAATGTTTTATAACTTTGCTTTTAAATTTTCATATGAAACCATTTGCAAATGACGTACTTAATTTAATAAAATACTTTAGCCATTGGGGAAAAAATAAATAAGAGATCATTTTATTCAAGGGGGAAAGTAAATTACTTTGAAATGGGACTCAGGAGTCACATGCTCCAATGCTCTCTAAAAGCTGCGAAGGTACCCTCTGTGAGGAAAGCAGCCAGGGCATCAGGTGAAAGAGGATGACTGATTTGGGCCCTAAGTGTTAGGAGGACAATGGGGAGTGGTGAGGAGTGTGGCAAAGGGAGGCTGCTACTCACCTCCAAAAGGTGCCAAGAGGAAATGGGAGCCCAGTGTGGAGAGATGCTGCAACTTTTCCAGAATAGCTAGAAATCTATCTTTCATACGAAATCATCTGTTTTTTAAGGATGGCCATTCATCCCATTTTGAAGTATTATGTCCAACAAAACACATCCACCCCACAGACAAGCACTTGTAATCTTCACAGTTGACTTCTGCTTGAAAGATCTAAATTAAAGTTTATCCATGGGCTAAAGTGATGCTGATATCTGGAAACTGGAACTAAGACGACAACTTGGCACTAACCACTCAAAATGATCATTTAAATACAAAGACGCAATAAAACACTGTTCAGAAATCAGGTATTTCTGTGAAAATCAATGAGCGCGAATGGGCCAGCTTCCCACGCGTGAAACATGAAAATTGTCCTACTGGGGCATCTGCTCCTGGGACCCTTCATTTTTCCCACTTATTTATGCCGAGTCCTCCTGAGTTATAAATTCATTTGGCCACTTTCTTCTGGGGACTCATGTTTCATACCCAGCGCCATTCAAGTTGTCCTAACCAGATTTAGAAACTGAAGAGGTATTTGAATAGAAATGTGGGGCTTTGATAAAGGAATTTAATGAATCCAGGGAAAACTATCTTGAGATACATCTTCATAAATATCACCAACAAGTTGAAAAGAGAAATACGTCAAAAAAGCTGGGGAAGGGAGAATGAGACCTGTTTCACCCAGAAGGTTAAGGATTCATAAAGGGGAGTCTTAAGTCAGCACTTTGTAACTTGGATGAGGGGCGGGGAGAGCAGAGGTGCTTCCACAGACAATCTTCCAAAGCAGGATTTCCTCTTCAGGGTCTAAATTGAACGGAAGCTTCATTCCCCAGGGCATCACAGGTGTCCAGAGACAAATGAGACTTTGGGACATCGGCGTCAAGGGTAGGACTCACAGCTGAGTTTATCAGAGGACGGAAGCTGATATTCCAAAATGCAAACTGAGTGTCACTGCTCAGTGTTCCCCAAAGTGTGGAGTGCGAGCTCCCGGTGACACACAGGATGCTTTAGGTGGTACATGGACCGAACGTCTCTTCTTTGAGTGTAACTGGTCATTGGTGATCATGTGTAGGAGAGAGAAATAAAGAAATACATAGCTAGCATAGCGAAACCGTTTTTCTATGACGCTATGAAGCTTTTTTAAACAAATTCTTTACATAAAATAATTTTAAACAAAATATGTACTAAGTAATAGTAGAAATGATCCATTCTCTAGAAGAATCGTAAAGTTAGCGCTGAAATGAATGAAAATGTTCATTCTTCCTCTCAAGGTCTGAGGGCAGTGCATGGTAGGCAATGGAGTTTATTTGATGCTGTGGGTGGGATGCCAGGTCCTACCCCATCCACTCCTTGATACCATCTTGCTGTTACTTAAAAAGTGCGCTCTATTTTCACAAGCAGGCTGTATCTTCAGAAGAAGGCATGAGTGGGAAAGACCCGTTTTTGCTCTTTCCGGCTCCTCTGGCTCTGTGTGTCCCTGTCCATCCCCTGCACGGAGCATCGTTTACACCATCGGGGGGATTTCTGGAACCACAGAGAGCTTTTCCTTCCTATGTCGGTTCTGCCTTTCAGATCCTGTCGCCTCTGTCAGATGCCATCTTGGCCGAGAAGACCATCACCGTGCTGGACGAGAAGGTGACGGTCACAGACCTCGGGGTCCAGCTGGTGGCGGGGCTCTCCCTCTCCCTGCAGCTCAGCCCTGGGGGCGACAGAGCCATCCTTGCCACCGCGGCGGCTCAGGAACTTCTGCGAAGGCCCAGACAGGTGTGGGGTGGGGATGGGGCACCGTGGGAAGGGGTCACATATCAGGGGGGGTCACACAGCAGGTGGGTCACACCAGGTGGGGTGAGGTCACGTGTTAGATCAGGTTGCCCGTGTGGTGGAATCACTAATTGGGGTGGAGGGGTCCCGCAAAAGAGTGGGCTCGCACATCGGGTGCTCCGCAGTCTGGAGAGGCGTTGTGAAGGGGCAGCTGCTCAGCCTCAGGCTTCCCAGTCCCCCCGATGGAGATGCCAGACCCCAAGGTCGCCAGGAGTGATGGATTGTAGGGCACCAGGAGCCAGACAGGCTGGACGCAGTCTCCTCGCGCCCCATCCGCGTCACCTGTGCTGGTTCTCCACCCCCACCCCCGACGCTCCTGGCTCTGGACCCCGCTGACCTCCCCGAGCAGTGGGTGAAAGCGAGGGCGGGAACAGACTCCAAGGAGGGGTCCACAGCTAAGTCCCTCCTCAAAGAAATGGGCTGACGGGTCTGGGGGTCGGAAGGAGACTGGGGGAGATGCTTCCACATTCGTCATTTAGCTGAGAGCAGGGGTAGCAAGCGGGTGGTGACATCAGTCACGGCCTCTTCCTTCTCTTTATTGGAAACCAGCGAGTGCTCTAAGAGAGAGAGAGAGTGTGTGTGTGTGTGTGTGTGTACTGTGCGTATGCGTATGTTTGTGTTATGTATGTGTGTTGTGTGTAGTGTGTACTGTGCGTATGCGTATGTTTGTGTTATGTATGTGTGTTGTGTGTGTGTACTGTGCGTATGCGTATGTGTTATGTATGCGTGTTGTGTGTGTACTGTGCGTATGCGTATGTTTGTGTTATGTATGCGTGTTGTGTGTAGTGTGTACTGCGCGTATACGTATGTTTGTGTTATGTATGCGTGTTGTGTGTGTGTGTGTACTGTGCGTATGCGTGTTTGTGTTATTTATGCGTGTTGTGTGTGTGTGTGTACTGTGCGTATGTGTGTTTGTGTTATGTATGCGTGTTGTGTGTGTGTGTACTGTGCGTATGCGTATGTTTGTGTTACGTATGCGTGTTGTGTGTAGTGTGTGCTGTGCGTATGCGTATGTTTGTGTTATGTATGTGTGTTTGTGTGTGTATACTGTGCGTATGCGTATGTTTGTGTTATGTATGCGTGTTGTGTGTGTGTGTGTGTACTGTGCGTATGCGTGTTTGTGTTATGTATGCGTGTTGTGTGTAGTGTGTGCTGTGCGTACGGGTATGTTTGTGTTATGTATGCGTGTTGTGTGTAGTGTGTGCTGTGCGTATGCGTATGTTTGTGTTATGTATGTGTGTTGTGTGTAGTGTGTGCTGTGCGTATGCGTATGTTTGTGTTATGTATGCGTGTTGTGTGTAGTGTGTGCTGTGCGTATGCGTATGTTTGTGTTATGTATGCATGTTGTGTGTGTGTGTACTGTGCGTATGCGTATGTGTTATGTATGCGTGTTGTGTGTGTGTGTACTGTGCGTATGCGTATGTGTTATGTATGCGTGTTGTGTGTGTGTGTACTGTGCGTATGTGTATGTTTGTGTTATGTATGCGTGTTGTGTGTAGTGTGTGCTGTGCGTATGCGTATGTTTGTGTTATGTATGTGTGTTGTGTGTAGTGTGCGTTGTGTATGTGTACATGTTGTGTTGTGTATCGTGTGGTGCGTGTTGCTGTGTTGATACGACGGTTTCCAAACAGAGAGGACTGTTGGACGGGCGCTTGGAAACATCATCTGACCTCCTCCCTCATCTGAGATGGAGAAACTTTATTTCTTAGAAGGAAACTGGATGGAGACTTTGGTGAGCCTGTTTAATGCCCAAGGACGGTGGTCTCCGGCTACTGACTCTGTGCGCCCCGTGAGACAGGACTGTCCTCCTGTGGGGATGCTAGAAGGCCTCCAGCCCACATAGGGGGTTTTCGGGCAGCTTTCCTTATTGGTCAGGAGCGCTTCCTGGAAGCTCTCCCCTCGGCAGGTACATTGCCATCTGGGCCCCCTCCTGCACCTGCTGAGGCTGTGACTATGCTTGGGCAGGAAGGTGGGCTAAGCTGGATCTGCCCCTGGACACACAGAGCCTTATCAGTTTCCCAGCCCGTACCCATCACTGAAGGCTCCCCTGCCAGGTGTTAGCTAATCCCTTGCCCTTTCACTGTGGTCTTTGTGCGCAGGGGTTTGGATTAGAAAGCACTTGAAAGTGGATGATCTCAATAACGGATACGAATTCTTGCCAAAGACAAACCTCCCTTTTCTCAGGGCATGATGCCAGCCAGGATGCAAGTTACAGATAGCAAAGTAGAAATAACCCAAGGCTTCTTCCTGTCTTCCTGGGCGATCAAATCAGGTGACTGCCAGTTAGGAGTTAAGGAAAGCGATAAGACACAGTTAGAATAAGGCCACAGAGCTAATCCATTTCCGACATGCAGAGCTAGGCACGTGACCCTGAGGTTTGCTCCGTGCTTGCTTTGGATGGAGCTTAGTCCCTGCCTGCAACTTGGCTCTGACATTTCAGTTTCAAGAAATCCAATGTGCATTTGAATTTCCTGCTGCAATTTCACAGCCAATCCGAAGGCCCAGGTAAACCGAGGTCACATCCAGTGGCTTCTTCCCTGTGTCATGGAGGCATTTTCCACTTAGCAGCCAGCCCGAGCCGATGGCTAACAAGGTCGGTATTTACTGGCTGTGCTGAAGGAGAAGCAGAGACCACCAGTCATATGTGAGAAGCTCCCTTCTCAGTTCAAAGACCAGACACCACCAGGAAAACTTAACTTCTGTCGTGGTCAGTGGCTCTTTGGTTGCAAGAAAGAGAAATCCCCTCAAGCAAGTTTAAATAACACAGGATTTATTACAAGGATAGTGGGATCCTCTTAGACCCCAGCTATAAGAACTTGGGGGAACTGGGGGGTCGACAGTCTCTTTCATGTCCATCATCTCATTAAATAAATGCTGTGCCCAGACATTTGCTTACACCTGATCCATCGTGGGTCACTCCAAAGTGGGGCTTCACTCTCCAGTCTTATAGGAGCTCCGAATCATCTTCCCACCACGAAGTGCTTCACTCCCATCTTAATGTTAATTAATTTATTTATCTTGGCTGTGTTGGTCTTCGTTTCTGCGCGAGGGCTCTCTCTAGTTGCGGCGAGCGGGGGCCACTCTTCATCGCGGTACGCGGGCCTCTCACTGCTGTGGCCTCTCCCGTTGCGGAGCACAGGCTCCGGACGCGCAGGCTCAGCGACCATGGCTCACGGGCCTAGCCGCTCCGCGGCATGTGGGATCTTCCCAGACCGGGGCTCGAACCCGTGTCCCCTGCATCGGCAGGCAGACTCTCAACCACTGCGCCACCAGGGAAGCCCCTCCCATCTTGCTTATTTCAAATTGGAGGGGGAGATGCCGGCTGGCTCAGAGCTGCAGAGATGAATGGCTCTGACAGCAGCCGTCCTATGGGTCCAATCAGCTGTGGCCAGGTGGGAAGGCACACAGGCCTCTTAGGGCTGTGCATCCTTCTGGGTTTGGGGTGGAGCAGCTTCTCCGGGAGCTAGGAGGAGGGAGGAGGGAGCAATGGGCCTCCCAGTTTGCTGTCAAGGCCAATGACATCTTCACTGAAACTGAAAGCTTAGAGGTTATCTTGTCTATTACAATCTCCCTGGACAGACTAGTCCCAAGGAAAGCTGGTCTAAAGCAACAAAGTAAAAAGACAAGGGATTGAGATGGACACAAGTCTTGACCCTGGCTACTTTTGGGTCTCCCAGTTTCCCCCAACTGGTTGGGTTGGAGTGTGGAAGGGAAGACAAAGATTCTCCCAACAGAAAGACTCCTAACCCTTCCCAACCCCAACCCTAACCCTAGCCCTAACCCTAACCCTAACCCTAGCCCTAACCCTAACCCTAACCCTAACCCTAGCCCTAACCCTAGCCCTAACCCTAACCCTAGCCCTAACCCTAACCCCTAACCCCTAACCCTAATCCTAACCCTAACCCTAGCCCTAACCCTAACCCTAACCCCTAACCCCTAACCCCTAACCCCTAACCCCTAACCCCTAACCCTAACCCTAGCCCTAGCCCTAACCCTAACCCTAACCCTAACCCCAACCCTAACCCCAACCCTAACCCTCTCTCTGGCTGGTTGGTTTTACTCTTCACCTCCAAGCCAAGACTGTCCACAAGCCAATACAGACCCATCCTTAGATGCTGATGTAGCAGGACCAACGCAACCAAAGCCTGCAGCCCCTCTGGGGCACCCTTGTCTAGGTCAGGGGTTTTAACCTGTGTTGTGAGTAATGCGCAGAGACTTGGTATTAAAGCAACTTAAAAATAACATAATAAATATTTTTCGTTTAAATGTGTAACATTTGTAAATGACCCCACTAACCGGTAAATCTCCGTGGATACGCAGTTGATTACTTTGCAGAAGCAGATCTTGCACCGTAGAACGAAGCCATCATTCTTTCAACACCTCAGGAAAGAAAGCAGATCTTATTAGGGAGTGTTATTCCTGGTCCTGTTTCATCATTGTCATTTTGCTGTTGTAGTTTTCTCTGGCTTCTGCATCTTTACAAGAATTCATTTTCTTTCATACCCTCAGTATTTCTTGCCTCTTATTTCTACACTGCATAAAAGGTTTCCCTTTGTTCTTGTAGTATTATCTTTGTGACAGAGTGTCTATTTTTACTAAGACTTTGTATTCAGGGAGCTTTGGGGCCCATTCTGACGAACTTACTTTTTTTCTTCAACAGGAAGCAGCCATCAGTTGCTGGGTCCAATTCAGTGATGGCTCTGTCACCCCCTTGGATATTTACGACGCGAAAGACTTCTCCCTGATGGCCACATCACTGGATGAGAAGGTGGTCTCTATCCGCCAAGACCCCAAACTCAGGTGGCCTATCATCACCGCTGAAGCCGAGGGACAGGGTGCCCTGGTGAAGGTCGAAATGGTTATTTGTGAATCATGCCAGAAGTCCAAGCGGAAAAATGTGTTGGCTGTGGGGACAGCCAACATCAAAGTTAAATTTGGCCCAAACGATGCCAATCCCAACACCAGTGACAGCAGACACACGGGGGCAGGAGGTCACCTGGATAATAATGTCAGTGACAGAAGACCCAAAAAACCCTCGCAAGAATGGGGGAGTCAAGAGGGACGGTACTACGGCAGTTCTAACGTGGGCCTCATGGAAGGAAGGGGCTCCACCACGGAAAGGCCCACCTTCCAGAAGAACCATGGCCAGGAAAGCCTTTTGGATGATGACAGCCATTTGCAGACCATCTCCATTGACCTCACCAGCTTCCCCGCCCAGGTGGACCTGCCCAGGAGCTATGGGGAAATGGACGAGAATGACCTCACACAGGCCTCCAAAGGGCTGAGCGACTTGGAAATTGGGATGTATGCCCTGCTGGGTGTCTTCTGCCTGGCCATTCTGGTCTTCCTAATAAACTGTGTGACCTTTGCATTAAAGTACAGGCACAAGCAGGTTCCCTTCGAAGAACAAGAAGGTATGAGTCACTACCATGACTGGGTCGGGTTGAGCCACCGGGCCGAATTGTTGGAGAATCACATCAACTTGGCTTCCTCCCAGGATGAGCAGATCACCGCCATCGACAGGGGCATGGATTTCGAAGAGAGTAAGTATCTCCTCAGCACAAACTCCCCAAACAGCATCAATGGACAGCTGTTCAAATCCTCAGAACCCACACTCACGGATGGGAAGGATCAGAAAAGTGAGCCCCCAACGTCCCCTACCTCAAAATGGAAAAGAGTGGAGTTCACCACTTTCACCGTCTCTGCGGACGACAGATGCCCCGCCGTGAACTCCATAGCGACCGGCAGCGAGGACGCCGTGAAATGGGTCAGCCAGGATCTGAACCCTGGGGGATGCCAAGAGTCGTGCGGCTACATGCAAGGATTACATGAAGATGTGTAAGCCCGGCCTTCACAGACATTGGTTCTCACTCACCTTTCGGCCTTTAACTTGGGGATGTGGGGCAACGGTGTGCCCGGTGGGGAAATAAAAAGACGGGGCGAGGTCAGGCTGACGTTATCCATAGAGCCGCAGACAATGACCCTGGCTCCCCTGGGGCGGCCCCGAGTTGGAATTGATGTCCACATTCCGGGGTCCAAGGTTTCTGTCAGCGTTAAGGGGTTTATCATGCATGGCAAGATTCTTACATTGGAAGAAAGATGAGCTCTGAATCACTGAACTTCAGAGAGCCTCCAGGAGAGAACAACCCCTCTCTTGCCATCTCACTTTCTTTCATCAAAGCCACACAGCTGCCGTATTCAGTGTTGTGGACCACAGGAGAAAAATGAGACTCAGGTTGGGCTCAAGGGGATGGATGGGAGGAAGCGTGTCATTGGACCTCGGGCAGCACATCTGGCTGTGAGCATATGAGCAGAGGTGGAGTCTAGCGCCATCTAGAGTCAGCTCTTGGGAAGCAAGAGTCTCGAGTTTACAAGGGGTTTTTTGTTTGTTTGTTTGTTTTTTGAGGTACGCGGGCCTCTCACTGTTGAGGCCTCTTCCGTTGCGGATCACAGGCTCCGGACGCGCAGGCCCAGCGGCCATGGCTCACGGGCCCAGCTGCTCCGCGGCACGTGGGATCTTCTCGGACCGGAGCACGAACCCGTGTCCCCTGCATCGGCAGGCGGACTCTCAACCACTGCGCCACCAGGGAAGCCCTAGTTTCCAGTTATTATCTCCCAAAGGCAAGGCAGTCGCTGACAAGGATTGAAAGGCAACAAGAGGGTGAATAGGCCACCAACACCTTTGTAACTAGATGCCAAGAACAACCACCCGAACAAACAAAAACGCTCTGAGCCATTCAGAGCATCCCTTTACTAGTAAACTAGGGAGCCTGGGTATAGACTTTCAACTGGGTTCGAAGGACCAGAAATTTTTTTTTTTTTTTTTTTAGCAAATTCACTATGTTCACGTTTGTACTCCTCCCCCACCACGCCCCACATCGCCACCTTTCCAAAAGTCATTGGTCACTCGGCAGTGGAGGGCAGTGTCACCATTCCCTCTTCCACTGTGGCATCTGTGTCAACCATCAGGTGACATTCTACGCTGAAGCCCCACTGGGCGAACTTCACACGTGTCCTTCTTTGAAGAGGCTGGTCTTGGAGGGTCAGCAGCGCTCACAAGGAATTCAACACCCAGGGATGCTCCTTCCCCTTGCTTTTCCCGGAAAGTGAGGGCTCTTCGGTGATGCGTCTGTGGACAGTCCCATCCAGTCTGCTGCTCAAGGCTGATGAGATAAATCTGGGTGTCCACATGGAGGGTACAGGGCAGGGAGAGTTGGGACTCGGGGTGCGCGATGAGGTGGGTTGGACAGGAAGCCTGGCCCGTTCACACACGGGGGGTGGGGGGGGCGGGGGAGAATTCTTCACCTTGGAGGGATGGAGGGACCTGAGGTAACCACCTATGGGGCAGAGAGCTGGGTTATTCGAGTGTTGGGTTCTGAGGTCAGTTTCTCTTTCTCTGTGTGCCTCTCTGTCCCTGTGTCTTTCTGAACCTCTCTCTCTACTTCCTCTGTCTCTC